TATTTACTCATCATTATCTAGTAAAAGTTACTAAGAATATAGTTAAAGATTTGTGAATAAATCAGGTGAATTTTACAAATCTTTAACCCTAACCTAACCCTAACCGTCCCCACTTCCATAGATTTAGATGCTAATTTCATTGCTAATTGCTAAGTTGACTTAAAATTAAAAAGGCAGAGGAAGATTCTACTGAAAMACCTACAAAGAAAACTGGTTCAGAAAAAACTCAGAGAAGCTTAACTGCCTGCATGTTTGTTTCAGATCACCTACATATTTTTGTGTTTTTACTTTGAGCATAATCTCTTTTATTTTTGTACAAAACTGTAAATTGTTTTGTCTGCAAAAATATGCWGGAGTTTGAAGGTTTAAACACAGCTAACAAATGTCGAACACAATTTTACTTCAGCTTGAGTCTCATCTTCTTCATTACACATGTACAACCRCTTCCTGTAGTTATTCCACTCCAAAGCCAACAAGATGTTAATGAAATGTAGCACTGGCACAGTCAGTAATTGTGTTGGCCAGTACTCTCTAACATAATGTTTAGCCTGTTTGTTTAAGCAGTGCTTTTTATAGACGTTTAAATTAAACTAAGCTATAAAAACAGCAGTGTGAAACATAAAAAACAACTTTTTAAAAATGTCAGATGATGAAATAATCACTTGAAAGCCAAGACAAWGGACCGAACAGCATTATTTATTTATTTGTTCTACTTGTCTAACGTTCCAGGAGAGAAGATTCTGGACTCTTGACGTACAAAGAACACCTGCCTGTCAGCCAGGTTGCCATTGGTGACACAAACAGACCAGGCTCTGAAGCCAAACTCACCGTTGGACCTCTCCGATGCCATGGAGACAGTAAGTACTGTCGCTCATGCACATGTCCTCCTGAGGAGCTTCTGTCACAGACAAGACAAGAAGATTCACTTGGATAAAAACAAAACTGTCAAAAAAAAGTGCTTGAATCAGTTGTACAGCAGCACTTGTAAGATCRAAATGAGAAACAAGATGGAAATTCAGTTGGGGGTKGATGTTTAGTCAATCTACAGAAAATGAGCTGGCAAGTGTTTTRAGAAAAAAAGCTGATTGCTTTTTCATGCAAACATTTCTTTTTTCTTTTAGCACCTCAGTTCTGATGAGTTTTAAATGTGAATCGTGTCCAAATAAAAGGGAAGTAATTTAAAGAAATCACTCTGGCGTTCAGAGGAATTAGTAGCACTTCCACTACTTTCTTACCTTTTTATTGATACCAAACAAATTTAGATGGAAGTAAACGATCTCATAAAGAAAAATGTAGCTGCAACTCTTAAAGTGCATACAACCTAATTTGTACACATTTTTCTTTAAAATAGTTTTTTTATGTTTATTTTAAACTGTTATAGTTTTGTAGACACTGGCATTGCAAGTTAGCTGAGGCTATGAGTGTTTTAGTGTATGGTATTTCTAATACCTGACACTTGTCCCTATATAAGTAAATGATAAATGAAATGTCTAAAACTGAAAAACGTGTGAACAAAAAGAAACAAAGTCTTTCACAAAACAGAAAACAAACCTGATATGGATGTGAAACAGGCCGAACACAATGGCCCTTGTCAGGAATAGTTTTGATTGGTAACCCAAATAATATGCAAAAAGAAAAAGATTAAGTTCTCAATTAAATGTTTTTTTTTTTTCAGAATAAAAGACTCCATCTCACTCCGAGCTTGTCTGTGGCTAAACAAAAATGGCCACTATTTATATAGAAACCCTGACCACACCACCTGGTGCTGGTCCCTCTTACATGAGCATTAGAATGTAAATATTATTCTTACACTACTGGAGCCAGGCACATATTAAATAGAAATTTGTTGATTCTCTAACTGTTTTAAGTAAATGGCTACAATTGGTTGCAAAGTAAGATATGACCATTTAAAATTCAGTTATCAACCACATAATTTTCAACACTGTCAAAGGAGAAAACAGTGAAAGAGAAGTCTCCAACTCAAACATGAGCTCATATGACCAAGACTAATTTGATCAAATTTCCAATAATGCTGCTCTCACCATAATTTGCTGTTTTTGTTTTGTTTGTTCAAACAAAAAAGTCTGAAACCCTAACAGAAAAGCGGCTCATTGCACTTCTAATCAGTCACTTTCAAAGCCTAACAACTGTTCAATTTGATTAAAATCCTTTTTTAGATAAACACAAGACTGATTAAACATCCAGCCTCACTTGTTACCAAACTGTGCTGTTAAAGCAACTGAAATTACTCAGAAGAAAACATCAGAAACGCCACCACATCTCAAAATCTGTCCAAACACTGATATGTTCTCCTCCTACTCGCTCACTTTGCACATCAACTCTTTTTTTATGTTTAAAAATCTCTCTGGCTTTCCTCTGACCGTGGTCGGTCGGTGCCCTGGCCCGGTGGTTGGAGCAGCTGTTGGCCGAGGCAGCTGCCCTGCTGTGGTGTGCTCCGGCACGGGGAACACTTTCAGAACGCAGCTGTAACCACGAGCAGAGAAGTGGCGATAGCTGCGCTTGCTTGTGTTGCCAGAAAAATCATTCAAGGAACAGCAACGTCTCCAAGGTGCCTATTCTCAGGACCGACAGCACCTCAAAATAAAAGTGTCCTTTACTTCCTCCACATGACTGTGAGCAGAGTTGTACAGTATCCATCCATCCATCCATTTTCTTCCGCCTATCCGGGGTCGGGTCGCGGGGGCAGCAGCTTCAGAAGGGAGGCCCAGACCTCCCTTTCCCCAGCC